TTAAATTAAAAGTAAAATATGCATATGCATATGTGTACATGATTATATAATCATGTACAGTAACATGAATAGTTGATCCTTTCAAACCTCCTGACAAACAAATTTTTTTATAAGTTTTTGTATATGTTTAATTTTGTTCGTGTTAATTTGTAATCCCACAGTAGTTATAGAATAAAATAAAATAATTCTTCTAGACTTTCTTATAATTTCGGATTATATAAATTATATTACATAATTATAAATTTTTACTTATTTTTCAGCTATCACTTAAAGAATAAGTTTAATAAAAAAAAAACTTTTTGCTACGATGAAACTTTTACATTCTATAAAATATAAAATATTTTACTTACTAAACAAAAGTATTTGAAATTAATTTAAATTAATCCACATGAATATTTTCAGAACATTGATATCATTTAGTATAAATGTGTAGTTATGACTATATTACTAAAAATACCAAATTGATTCTGAAAAAATCAAGATATCTTAAAACTTGGTAAGACTGGTGCAATCATCAGAGAACAGAACAGAATTAAGACTCCCATGTGTGATAAGACACAACTCATAGATTCTAATATTTACAGAAAGAGCTACTGACTCACGAATTAGAGGAAGCTTAAGGACTCAAGTGTATAACGTCGGTACTATCGGTCGGGGACGAGGACGATATTTGTGATCTAAGTTGGAGATTCTCGCGTTTCAATTGGGTAACTACTTGTTTCAATGATATAATTTCTTGCCGCAGCTTGTCGTTATCTCGCAGGCATTGACTCAAACTTTGATTAGCCGCACGCAATTCTCCTATGTACTCGCAAGCTCTTGCTAAAATACCTCCTTTACTCTGTTACAGAAAAATCGTTAATACAATATCATGTAAACAATTATATGACAAAAATTTCAATCTGCTATACCTGAGTTTCATAGTTGGTTTTCCCTTCTCCGCTGCCGTTGCCGCTACTGCCAGTGGTATTAGCTGTAGTATTACAGTCAGGGATGATCTTACCCAACTTTGTAATCCAATTATTTATTTTATCTCTACGTCGACGCTCGACTTCATTATGCGTTGCTCTTCGCCTATCGTCTCTCTAAAAGAAAACAAAAAAAAGAAATAACTTTTGTTTTTTTACACTAAAAAAAAATAAAGTAATGATATATCAATTACATAAAGAATAAGGATATAATATTATGATTAAACCTTTTTTAAGCCAGCAGTGCAATTCCTCGGGGTTTCTATCTGCAACGTAGCCGTTCTTGGCACCAAGGATCTTGATGTCTGAGCTGTAGTAAAGACATCGTTGGCATTTCCGATAACGTAAAACTGACCATTCAAAGGCGATGTTAAAACTTGTACAGTATTATTCGGTTGCGATGCAGGTATCTCTATCTCATTGGCCGACTGTATTGCTGCTGTACCGTTCACTTGGACAACTCGGTATGCTAGAGTTTCTGGATAACGCATTTCATCATCTCCAACAGGTTCTAAGAGGAACAAAATACGCAATTGTAAAAATTGATGTCCAACAGCACAATATTCATCAAACAAGTCAATATTTAATCTAAATATATTGATATAGACTAATATTTTTTTTTTAAGAGATACATTTGACACAAATGTTTATCTGCTTCTCTTTTAGGAAACACAGTTGATATAAATGTTGTCCTATCTTTCTTGGCATTCAATGACTAACAAAGATAGAATGATAAATTGTATCTCTTAAAAGGAAAATTGTCTCCATTATTAAATAGTAAGAATGATAAAACAATATTTTATGTCTACTATGGCTGGTATTCATAGTCAATTCTTATATTTAAGACTATTTTCGTACAGTCATAAGCCAATCAGAGAGCTGTATTAGCATCTTAAGATATTACTTAAAATAGTTCTAAAACAAAAATCAATTATGAATATCGGCCTTTATAATAAGTACCGGTCATAGTTTACGAATAGAAGAAGACGAAGATCTCACGAAAATATGGCTCTCACCTTCGCAGTCCACAATCTCTGCTTCCTCTATCACGATCCCCGTCGTGCCATCACCGTCATTCTTCACGGTGCTGCAAAATCAAAGTAACACTTTCAGACACGATATTATCTTATCTTAACGCGGTTACACGCTACGTGTATTACTTCGACGATTGTGTATGTCGATCCTACGGCGTAAGTGCGCACTGTGCACTAAGTGATGATGACCTTGAGGAGACCTCGGATGAGACGGAAAGGAATGTTTGCGATATCGTGCGATCGATATTTAGTGTAAACGCTACCTGACATCCTGTTGTTCGAGTTGTTGCTCCAAAATGTCCATTCCTTAGCACCGAAAAAAAAAAACGTTTGAATTTGTCGAAATTCACGTGAGCTGGTCACGGGACACGGCAACGAGGTCATGTGGTGCACTAAGATGGCGTCGAACGCTGCACGCACCATCTAGTGACGCACTACGCATGCCAACCCATGAGGAGATGAGTAATGTCCCAAATTACGTAATGACATCGTCGATAACTCCAGCATACAATTATAATTGTATATTATATCTGGAATGTTTGCGTATATTGTTTACGTTAAATTTATATGAATTATCTTTTTCATATAAACAATACAAGTAATGTAAAATTACTTACAACAAAGAAATAATTAACAATCATAAGTTTTATAATTGCTGATTGATATATCCTTATTATAATTAATAAACAAAAATCAATTAAGATAAAATTAAACTTTAGTGCAGTCTAATAAAAGATATAGAGGTCTCAATGATTCATAATTTTTTTTTACATAAATGTGTAGATTAATTATAATTTTGATTTAACTTACTTTTTATCTTTTTTATATAGTGTTCTAAGAATTAGAAAAAGATAAAGGATAAATTAAATTAAGATTAAAATTAATCTATACTGGTAGAAATGGACATATAAAACCAAGTTATAAAATTATAGAAATGAGAAATTAGAGGGGGGTGGCGGAAGTTCATAATCCGGCTTTTCTTCTACCGTGCCGTGAGCAGCACCGTCATTCCCTCACCACCGCTATTGACATCCCAAGCATCTTGAGAAATCCGATTTTGAGATATCAAATTTTTCTCCGCAGTGGCGCAGTCTTCGCGAGGGTCCATCACCCGCGCCGCGTGCATTTCGTTATGTTTTTGCCCGCCGGAATTTTACGCGGAAACTTTAGACGTGAATAGCCGATAAGTCACGCGATTGCGTTTTGTGTTCCTTGGTGTAATTGGAGATCGCGCAATAATCCATTCCCGCCGAAACTGTGAGATCTCGGTACCCGTCAAGATGACTAGGTGAGCGCGCGAACTTTTGGAGGTTATATCCAACGACATTACGAGTTTCCCCGCTTCGTCGATTTTTCTCATGTGAAAAATACGCAACAAGCGTTGTATCTCCCGTTTTCAAAATTTGTTGGAATTAAAAGCTTCACTTTTAATGTCACTTGTATTCAATTTTCAGGTCGAAGATAGAACTGGGCGACGTGACACCGCACAACATAAAGCAGCTGAAATTGCTCAATCAAGTCGTATTCCCGGTCTCGTACAACGAAAAGTTTTACAAGGATGTACTGGAAGCCGGAGAACTCGCTAAACTAGCATATTACAACGACATAGTGGTAGATAGATTTTTAGTGTTTTTTGTTTAGCACAATTCTTAAATTTTACTTTATGGTTATCATGGTCCAAAGAATGTGACACTATTTGCTAAAAATTAGCCAATTTAAAGATTAATTGTGAAGAAAATTTATACTTTATTATATTATTTAACCTTGCTGTTCTGTTTAAATTTATTATACAATCATATCGTTTAGGTTAGTATAATCAAAAATAAATAAAACATTAAAAAATATATATATTAATAGACTAAGTTGTCAAATAAAAATAAATTACATTTTAAATCAAATAAACTCGAGTAGGACAGCAGGATTAAAGTATTTTTCACAGACTAAGAAAGTTCAAGATTATTGTATTATATTAAATTTGACTTGAATATAAATTAGGTTTTAATTTATGGCATGATTCTCAGGTTGGAGCAGTTTGCTGCCGTGTAGATACTTCAGAAAATTCTAGGCGTTTATATATAATGACATTGGGTTGTCTTTATCCTTATAGAAGATTAGGAATTGGCACTGTTATGGTCCAGCATGTTTTAAATTATGTTAACAAGGATGGTAATTTCGATTCTATCTTCCTGTAAGTATGACTTGCATTTTATGGTGTACTATCTTGAAAGTTTTTAAATTAACATAATCATCCAACGTTCGCAGACATGTTCAAATAAGTAACGAAGGCGCGATTGACTTTTATAAGAAATTCGGATTCGAGATTGTCGAAACTAAAGAACATTATTATAAGAGAATAGAACCAGCGGACGCACATGTGCTGCAGAAAACGCTGCGTCCACGAACAAATCAAACAAATCATCAAACGGTCAACTAATAAGTAGCATTGTTCATTAATTTATCTTTTTCATAATTTAGAATCTACATACGTTTCCATGTTCTGTCAATAAAAACATTTTATATTATATCTGCATGGTGTGAGTCAAATTAATCTTTCCTGTTTATGCTATATATTTTTGCATGTGCAAAAAGATATATAATTGGATTAAGATATGAAATTATGACGAAAAATTAACAGATAAAAATATACAAACAATTTTTGTTTGCAAGTAAAATGTACGACTGCAATTTCTGTATATATTGTTTTTATTATCCATCAAATCAATTTCTTTCTACTTAAATATACTTAAAAATTTGTACGACATTCATGTTTCCTTAGGAAATTGGTATTAAAACGAGTACATGCACGTTGAAAAATTATCCATAAGAAATGAGTACGATTGAACATTGGATATATATATATATATATATATATATATATACACAATATTTTATATATATATATAATATATATATATAAAATATTGTGTAAAATGATATTACAAGAATAAATGCACGCGCTCGCAAAGAAAACGTATAAAGAATTTTAATTACAGTAGAGTCTGTCTAAATTTAACTTCTGTAATCTTTGCACTTCTCATACAACTTTTACAAACACTAATGTCATGGTAGGCTGGTTATGTGTTACACATGCATCTGCATCTAATTGTACTAGGTTCTCACAGTGTATGTAATGTAATTCCATAGGCAAGTTATGTATAACTATTTGTGTAATGTATTCTTTTATGATACATAATATGTGATACATATGTACATATGACTTGTTCTGCTAAGGTTATGTACACTGTAGTGCACCTGGACAGATTAGCATATGCAATTTAGCGCAACTGCATTCGCGTAAGTACGCGGTGATTGATAGATTCGTGCTGTAGAGAGGGCACTCTATAATTTTGGCATTCCATTCTTATCGCCCCATGGACTAAATTTAGAGACTCAACTGTAACTAACTTAATATATTATATAGTGTCTCATAAATATATTCATAAAAATATATGCTTTTACTTATGTAAGAAAACAAAATAAATTAATATTAAATATCTTTTCGTATATGTATAGGACGTTCTTTACTAATACGTGGTCGGATATCAGATTCGAAACATACTATATTCTAATCATTTTAGATAATGCCTTTCAGTACGATATATGACGACATCAATATGACAACAATAATAACTAATGCAGCTAATACAGTAGAAAATCGCTAGTGTAAAGCATCATCTGTTATATGCCTAAAAAACTCCTGAAATATTACAAAATATAGTTAAGCCGCAGAAAACAGGTGTTTAGACATAATAAAATTCGCTGTAAATAGGTGTTGCTGCAACAGATTGAAGTACATCTTCTGCTCGTCCTAGATCAATATGTTTTAACAATAAATTTTTTAAATTAATATTAGACAATTATAATTCCAGTAATTCTTTTATTCTTCCAACGCAAATCTCTGACCCTTCCATCGCTTCTTTCGAAGTCTGTAAATAACAAAATAATACAATATTGCGATAATATAATATATATATATTGATTCATATATAATAAAAACAAACGTTTATATAACGTTTGTATTAACGTATCTAACCTGTACAAGACTGAGAAATCCATGTGGTAGACCCGGTAAAATATCTAATGTAACTTTATTGCCAAGTGAACGAAGCTTCCTCGCAAACATGATGCAGTCATCGAGACAAGGATCAAGATGACACGTCTAGAAGCAAATTATTATGTACAAGATATCTTAAAACTTTCGATCTTAATAGCGGCTAAAGTTCATTAAGTTTTATTAGAATGTAACAAAAATCCAAAAGTACCAGTATCTTTATGGGCGGTATACTAGCTAGCATATTATCGGGCGCATCATAAGGGCTTAAGAAAGGATCCTTTGGTATCGCAAAGACGAATTCTTCAGAAGAAATGATGTTATCCATATTAAGTTCTCTGCTATCCTTACTACTTCTTCTACCAAAGGACCATCCAAATAAAGACCATGATTTATTACTTTGTCCTGAACTGTTACCATTTCTACTGACACTGCCATTCATTGCAACAGGCGATGATGTTGAGGCAAGGCCGGAATTTCTGTACATATTTAAAAATCTATTGATATATTCTCGAGATTTCGCCTGTGCTTTCGGACACTCAGCACCTGTTGCATTAAAAGATTTTTCAAAATGTATATTATCGAGAAGTAAATTTATATTAATAAACACTATGAGTATATACTGTCTGATTTATATATACCGTCGACTTCTGTTAAACTAACAGAATTTAACGTTGAATCGGATGGAAGGGATACTAATTTCTGATCATCATTTGCGCCGTCTCCATTTGGACTCAGGGCTAATGCTATAAGGTCACTTTCGCTCACTTCTGCAAAAGATTCTGTATCCGATTTAACGTCTTCATTCTCGTGTTCCCTATCAGGTATAAATCGATTACATATATGTAAAATATGATCATTTAATATTAGCTACGAAGTACACAAATATGAATATATTTAGATAATTTAATTTTGTTTCATATTTTTAAAAATAAATTGATTAAAATAAGATATCATTTTCATTGAAAAATATCTTACTTTGTGAGTTTCTTGTTATCAGTTACATAAGCCTTAAGACATCTTAACATAAAGCCGAACGGTAATAATGGATCCGTGAGACAAAGCATACGAGAGGGCGACGGTACAAATTCGATGCGTACTGGTGCATATGCCATAAAAATACCGTCTGGTCTTCTTATATTTAATTGCATACATCTTAAAGTAACTCCCAAGTTTATGTTTCCTCCTGCAGAATCACCTATTAAAACATCATAAGATTTTTTAGTTTACTCAATCGATAGAAACACATAAAGAAATAATTTTTTTATCTTACCAACAAGTATCACTTTTTTTGCAGTACTTCCGAGTAAGGTATTTGCATGTTTTAACGCCCACGCATAAGCATACAGCACCTCTTCGAGTGCACGAGGATAGGGTGCCTCTGGAGCTAAACTATAATCTATACTCAAGATTGGTACTCCAAGCGTCACAGTCCAATTTCGTAGATATATTTCGTGCGATCGTGAAGTTTGTGAAACAAATCCACCCCCGTGAGTATGAATAATTAATTCATCACATAGATCGCATAATGTTCCACCTATACCTCCAGATCCAACCTTGATAGAATATTATCAAAAATTATAACAAATATCCACCAGCATTAGCTTACAAAAATTCTCTATAAAAGAATCTATGAGAGATATTCTATATGATGAAAATTCTATTCTAAGTTGCAAACTTATATCTCAATAAGGATAATATATATAATTAATTAAATAAAATGTGCGCAAGTACTTTCAATACTCTATAAATCTACATAGATATTAATATTTTATGTACCATTCCTAGACGTCGTTTGGAGCTTAACAATCTAACGTGAATTGGTTTCTTCCCAATATGACTATTTGGTATTGGAACTAAAATAGTTCCTTCATCTAAAGTAGATAGGATTAATTCTTCGGGCGGAATAGATATTACCTGATTAATTGCTAAATTCGAGGTATTTATCATATTCATTATTGCTGAAATAGAAATCAAAGAAATTTCATTAATTGAATATACAAGATAAATGAAATAATTCTATCTAAATTGACATCTCTTTATTATTATATAAAGTTTTTTAAATGCAGAACATTAAATATTCACGTGTGCGAAATATTTTCAATTAATATTTTTAGTCACAATTCCTTATTTCTTACCAGATTCGCTTAGAAACCAAAATGCTTGACAAAAAGAAATGTCAGCGTGCTGAGATATATTAACAATACGACGTGCTCTTGCTTCGGGATCTAATAAATACTTAATAGAATTAGTACATAGTCCTAGTAGGGTACTATTGGTGTAATACATCTCGCTGAAGGACGCCATAAAAAATGACAGCGTTTTTAATACATGTTTTAAACTATCACAGAACTGAAAAAAACATTTAAGACAGATAGACACTTTAGATATATTCGGCTTAAATACAAGTGTTATTTATTCTCCCCAAGTACCTGAAATCCTAGACACCTGCCATAAAAGCAGTACTGATTAATGTTCTGTGCAGAATTGAGAAGTTCTTGAGTACTATACTGATCTAGCGGAAACAATGACAGCTTTCCATCATTCAATACTTCTGTGCTCCATGAGTACATTGTTTTTAAATGCTGTAAACATGTAAAGAGTGATGCCACTAGCTGAGAACACGCTTCTATTTCCCTAAAAACCCAGATTAAATGTACAGTCTATTGTTACATGCAGAAGCAAATATAGGATATAATTTATATAATATATAATTACTTCATGTAATAGCTCTTTCGGAAAAACACAGAGTCTTTCTGATCGTGTATCTGCTGGCAAATCAGCTCGGAATACATGATACATTTATCTACCAACAACAGGAAACTTCTGTACCCATTCCCCGGGTTTTCTTCGTCAAAGTCAAAGTGTGACGCGAACCTGGCAATCTCCTTGTACAGCGGCTGCAACTCAGTCAAGTAATCCCTGATCGCCACGAGGGCAGCCTTGATTTTGACGCCGTTCTTATCTTGGTGAGAATCAAAATACTTTTCGTTGGCACAGCACAACTCACGCAACGTGTTCCAATCATCCAACTGGGGCTCAAAATCAAACGGTCTTTCGAAATCATCGTTGCACGTCGACATTTGGAATGATTCCCTGAAAGACTACTGGAATGACACTCTCTTTCTCTTTCTCCCTCTTTATCTGTCTTTCTCTATCGAGAGAGCTTCGTAAATCAATTGCCAACACTTCAGTGAAAACAAATCTTGATTTTGTTAAGCATTCTAAACAACTACCGATTGCTCAACGTGAATTCCCGACATGTCATAACGGATGATAACGATTATGATTCCACGCGCATGATTGCGTAACTATGTTAATAGATAACTTGACACGTACATCGCGCGGACGGCGCGGCTCCACGGCGAGGTTAATTCATCCGTGAGTATCGTATTCTCGTCCGCCCAATATATCGCGAGGGTCGACGGCGACAATTCACGTTTTGCGCTGCCGCGACGCAGCGATCGATTCCGCTTGCGGCGCGAAGAATCACGCGGCTTTGACTTGATAGTGTTACTTTGACACCCGCTGACGCGGAGTCGCGAAACGGGACCGCGCTCCAGTTTTTTCCCTCTGGAGTGTCCCGCAACCCGCGAGCATATCACGTATATACATGTCAGACAAACCGGATGGAGTGGGATGCACACAATAATGTTTCTCGGTCAAACAAGGAAATCGACGAGGACTGACATATTTTAATGAGAACTTTCTTATGCGCGCGCGTTCTTTTCTTGTTGTGTTTAAAAGCATTGTGGAGTATTAATATATGTGTATGCCTGTGGGATTATATAACGATCCTTTGAGAGATCTACTTAGTAATTTTTAACAACATATTAAAATAAGAAAATTATTGTTTTTTCAATCGACTGTTTTTCACCTGCATGTTTAACTGAATGATAATTTAATAAGGGAAAAGAATATTATATAAATATAATATATGTACATATTTTATAAATATTATTAGGTGTTGGAATTAATTCGTAGCGTTTTACAAGTGATGGGAAGTACTTTCATTAATGTATTTTTTAATGCTCATGTGAAATAAATAACATTCTTTCATTTAAAAACGCTACGAATTAATTCCAACACCTAATATATAATTGTATAAAAAAATCAATTTTTTAATGTAATTTTATATAATTATATAGAGGAAAGGCTTCTATTATGAAATATACCGAGTTCATTTTGAGTAAATGCTAGAAGTCTATAGATAGAATTTAAAAAAATAATAGATCGTTTTGAAAAGAATTTAATAAGATAACGTTACATAAAATTTAATTCAAATTCCATTTTTTTTTTGAAAATTAAAGAAATGTAAAAAGCAAGCAAATCGCAGAGTCAAAAAATTGTGCTCCCAATACGAGATGCCCAGAGAAATCGATAGTAAACACAAAATATATCAGTATTGCAATTAAAAAACTTTATTTAATGTCTATTTAATTACTTTATTTAATCTAAAATACAAACAGCCAGCGTACGCGAAAAATGAGTATGCGATAAATTATATCCAGAATTCGTTTTCAGGTATGTAGTTGAAATCAAGCATCGCAGATATAGGCATTCGACGTTCATGTCTTTTTTATTATTATACAATAACATTTATACTTTAGCAACGATTTTCATTATAACGTAGGAGCATGGGTTATTTCATATTAAGAATATTCTGGGTATCTCATGTTACGATATATTTCCACGCCTTATGGTTTTACGATCATCAAATTTAACTTCTGTAATTAAACAATTCAACATATCCTGTATTTTTCTATTAATACGATTTTACTCTATCACTACATGAAGAATTTATTGCCAAATATTTATTAAATAATAAACAAGATTTAAATGTTCATCTCAATGAAACTTGAAAACATCCAAATTCTAAAATCTTGTTTTACAATGACTACAGGCATGATCTAATAATGAATTTTCTACTAAATAGTTTTTAATCCAAGAGCAATAAATTTATTGGTAGAACTAATAAATAGCGTTTAGTTTAACAGAAATGCCGTTATCTCATATAGGTGCCTATTTCATAATAGGAAGCTTTTCTCTATGAATACATTTTTTCCCAAGAATAAATGGTTCATAAATATATGAATAATAAAGGAAATCATAATACAAAACGATAGTTAATGTCATAATGAATAAATGATATAATAATAATGATATAATAACTCAGCAAACGATGGATTGAAATGGATTAAAATGGATTCAGATTTTCAGAAATACATAAATGTTAAAATGAATCCATTTCAATCTTGAATGCATTTTTATTCAGGCTTTTATTCCGATGGCATGGAGTATATTTCTATGCTTTTCAATTTAAAAATAATATTATTTGTATATAGTGTTTTTTGTATGCATCGTAAATACTGCTTAATTTAAAATTCCGAATAGGAAATGCAATTTTTTAATCCAATTGAGAAAAAAAAAGTTTTTCGTTTAATGGCCCATTTTCTTAAAATGAATACTATTCAAAATTGTGAATAGAAAATCTATTGTTACATTTAAAAGAAACATAAAGAGAATTGTACGTATATGTACAATAAATGTTACACATATATGTAAATTCCTTATTGTTAATTAATAAATTAATCGCTTTTATGTATATTTTATATTAATACGATTCCTTTATTATAGCTAGCGTATATTTTTTGTATTAAAGTTTTAAAATAATGACTATAGAATTTCATGTAATTACTACTTTACTTTATTTAAACTTTCACATATATAAAAATTTTTTTTTATAATCCAATTCATTTTTATGGATTTAAAATACGGATTCAGATGGATTGACAATTTCCAATCCATTTCAATCCATTTTAGTTTACTGGTAATCCTGAGCGAGGTAGTATTATTTTCTTGCAAATAGAATTCGACTTTAAATTCCTTAGAATTCAGAATAAAATTCTGTCTGTGGTTTTCGTATCAATATAATATGAGTAACATTTAAAAATGGAAATACATAAAATAAATAAAATATATAACATGAATAAATGTATTAGGTGTTGGAATTAATTCGTAGCGTTTTTAATGAAAGAATGTTATTTATTTCACATGAGCATTAAAAAATACATTAATGAAAGTACTTCCCATCACTTGTAAAACGCTACGAATTAATTCCAACACCTAATATAATAAAATGTTTATATACATATATTAAATAACACTTATTCTAATTAATTTAGTTTGAAATTAATTAACTTAAGTTTAATAATTTTTATATCTTTATTAAACTGATTAATATAAAATTATAAAAATATGTATTTCTGAATATATTTTTAACGTTAAATCTATCTTGAGATATGATTAAACAAAAATTTATTTTAATAGGAGCAATAGATTGCTTGAACAAACAACTGGCAATTTTAATGTGAGAGCTCATTAATAAGAGAGATAAAACGAACTCGGAGACGCGACAGTTTGGATTAAAAAAAAATTCGGTTCAGTAACCGCTGCTGCTTTTCAGTTACAGCCTCGTACATTGTAACTGAAGTATCAACATCATGTTTTTATCTCACCTGTACGTAAAAAAGAAATTTACACACTAAAGCACAATTACATATAGTTACACATGAGATTCACGTAGATTAAAATAATCTGTTTATTGTTAACGCTGCCAGTCATTAACATCAAGAGAATGTCGGATGTTTCAATTCATTGATAATCGCCAGAATTATCGAGAAAGATTATTGCGCTAAGAGATTAAAAATATATCACAAGCACACGGAAAAGTGATAATGACACTAAGCGAGAAGTGCTTTTCCTTCGCGGTTCAATCGCGATGTGTGCGATCGTAGTTTTGACGCGAGACTAAGTACAATATATATATATATATATATATTTCTATGTTGCAACATTATCGCTAGCCTAGTGATATTACTTTGGAAAATAATCATTTCTTAGAAAATCAATTAGTCGAGGAAAAATAGATAACGAAACGCGTATAAGACAAAGTCGAAAAAAATACAAATACATGTTGATCGCTGACGTGTCGCTGACGTTTCGAGCGAAGACAAAGATACGATAAGAATAGCGATAACTTCGCATATAATTATCGCGCATATGGCTTTATCTCATACCGCAACATGACTTAAATGCGGCGATAAAGACAATGAATACGAATTCTTTTACGTTTTGCTTCGCAGTGTACTTATACAAGCATGTTTCGACAAGCTGTTAAATTTCGATTTAAAAAAAATTAATCAGTGACCTTTACTATCCAAAGATTGTCCAAAACTATTCGCGATAATATCAGATTATTAAATTATTTAATTACTCAAATAAAAAATCTGTCGAGAAAAAATTGTGCAAAGTGTCTGCCATAGATATTGTCAGTAAAGTTCAAGATAATAGAATTTGTTGCGAAACCCTGTTGAAAATTCTTGTAAGTTTTTTGTACCAGATCTTAAAAGAGTTGTATGTGATCAATCAAGATTACTAACGTACATAATTATGTAAGAATCTTATATAATTTGTCTATGAATTTCACCAGAGTAACCTTTAATGACTTTAATCTGGAATGAATCATACACGAGGATTTACAATGAAAAGATCTTGTCTTAGCCTTATAAGAAACTTTTAAAAAATAGTTTCTTTATAGGATCATCCAAGAATATAGTATTAATTACATATGATTTTAAAGTATTTCATGAAAGACCATTTATCAATCTTAAAAAACATATAGTTACGAAATAATTTATCTTTCAAGTTGATTAATAGAAATCTGGCATGAATCGTACAAGACAATCTATAATATATGAAAAGATTTTAATTGCTGATTCAGCCTAATAAGATGCTCTTAAGAAATAATTTCTTTATATGATCGCTCCAAAGTAATAAAAGTATTAATCGTCCCAGACGAAATGGAATTATTGAATGAACAGAAACTAGATTGAATATATGAAATAAAAAAGAATTAAGAAAAATTAAAAAATTTGTTCAAATACTGAAAATGATTAAAATGAAACATTAAAAGGTCGAAACATATATTAGTACTGTCTTAATGAATTGGTAAATTATAATTTTGCTATAATAATTGGCGTAGGCTTTTTATGCTCCTTTCTCAAATTAAGTTTGATTTAATCGAGAAGCCATTATTCAATTTGTGTAAAAAAAAATTAATTTTTAGTCAAAATGAATTCTTTTAAATCCCATTCCACTCCTTGCTTATCCCATTCCATTTTATTTACTGGAATACGAGCAATCAATCACACAAATTCTAATAATATAATTGTACATTATACGTACAAACGTCTTTTAATTAACATTCTGCATTATCATTATATAAGACTTTATACATATAAGACCAGAAGAAATGTAATTAGTTAAAAAAAAAATCCAGTATCCACTAAATCTATCAGATAAACTACAATGAAACAAGTGATCGAGAGATTCTTTATAATTTATTTATTGATAAGTAAAATTACATATATATATCCACAAACACAATACGTTCTTTTCACGGGGTGTAATAATGCGTTAAAACTTGTGAGCGGCGAGGAGAAATACCTGCGAAGGAGAAAGAGGGACGAGGAGAGTTTGCTTTTTTCTTAAGTCTTTCGACACTACCCCCCCTCTTGTGTCTCTCATGAACAACAGCATACCATGGTATTTGTCAATAATAAAAAAAGAGAAAATTCCAAAAGATTTGCAATGTAGGAATGAATTAAGCCAGAAATTTGGAAATGGTCTTCAACGCGATATAAAATCATATCAATGAAGTAAAAACAAATTACGAATCCGTTTCATTCTTTCACTCTCCGACTGCTGAAAATCCTTTCAGAAATCGAAAAAATCTGTCCGCATACGTGCACATTAATATTTTTTAAATAAAATATACATGACTGAAGAACATGTAATTCATTAGAAGTGTATGTACGATGCTTCAATTATTT